AATGTATTCTGTCAAGGAACCGATTCAACTAAAAGCTCAAGCTTGTGGTTGTGACCCAGGAACAGTTATTTATATTCTAACACGCCCCCTCACGTGCAGGCGTAGTCTTTTTCGAGGCTTGAACGTGAAACCTTAATTTTTTTAAACTGGGTGGCGCTAAGTTTTGAACCCGTGACCTCTTAGTCAACGAGGCTCTGATACCATGTCAAGGAACCGATTCAACCAAAAGTTCAAGCTTGTGGTTGTGGCCCAGCAACAGTTATTTATATTCTAACATATTCGTTCAATTTGGCTTTTTCAAGTTCAGCTCGACAAACATTAATCATCAATTATTTTCAATTTTTATTGCATATAAATACAATAAAATAATGTCTTGAAAATTTTTAATAAGATAGATCTAATGAAACTATTTTCAAAATATATGTTACAGTTTTTCTGAAAGTCTTTCCGATTTGACTTTAAAAAGTTAAATTGGACGAATACACTACGATGAAGGTAGTAATTGTCATTTGTACATTTACAAGATACAGAATGCTCATTTCACATATTTTTTTGTACACTTTGAGCATGCACTTCATAAAAGTAGTGTATTTCACAATATTAATTTCATTGCTAAAAATTAATATTTATTTAGTTGCTTAACAAGCAAAATACAATTTTTGTTATCAAGGCGTCGCCTAGGCGTCCAAGTGCCCTTCTGCTCTCGCCTTGGGAGCTCGCCTCGCCTTATTCTGCATTCATCGCCTAGGCGTCACCTTGGCCTCACCTTTCCTCGCCTAAGCGTCGCCTTAGCCTCGCCTTGGCTAGTCCAGTAATTTATTTTTTTTAAGTGTTTTATTCACCCGCCTGTAGTGCTTTGTTTTTTAATGCTTTATGAATTAGTTTATTTACAATTTAATGTTTTTTTGTACTTATCTTCCTAATTGATACTTGGTGCTTAATTTTTAAAATTTTAAATGATTAATTTATTACAAACTTAAGCAGGTAACATTTTTTTCAACTTTGTTTTTTAAGAAAGTACTTAAAAGTAACTTTGGTAGTTAAACTTTGATGTATTAGAAAAAATTAAACTTTACCAACTACAATATATAATTTGATATATTTATATTAGTGTTCTTAATGTATAGCAATTCTCCTATTTTAATTCTCGCCTAGGCGGACGCCTAGTCGACTAGGCGTCCTGGCCAGTGATGCGTCTCGACTTGGCGCCGTGATAACTATGAATAGAGTAAAATCACACCACATCAACATATTCTAATAGAAAATTAACATCATTGGTCTAAATGTATATAAAGTGTAGTTTGGGGAAATCAAAATTTGTTTTGTGACAAATAGATTTCTTTTAATCTAAATTGTGACATTACATCAAATTTATTTATTATTTTATTGATGATGATGATAAAGATAACAACAATAACTACACCAACAAAACAACAATAATAACTACAACAAAAATAACAACAACAACAACAATAATAACAATAATAACAACAACAACAACAATAATAATAACAACAACAGCAACAACACTCTGGTTCTTTTGACTACAAAATTTGTTGTCATAATCTGATGACTCCGCTAAATTAGCTGCCAAATCCGTGATTCGAAGGGAGGGGGGGTGGCAAGTGTAGGAACTATCAATTTCATGAGCGGAGCGCCGTTTTTGATCTAATTGGAGTTGCCATATTATGACATTATGGGTTGTCAAAAGAAGGGGATTGTAATAATAATAATAGTAGTAGTAGTAGTAGAAATAATAGTAATAATAATAAATTTCTTCAAAAAAAATTAGTAGGAATATAATCATAATATATGTAGTTTGTATTGCTATATTTCTTCTCTTACCTTATTTAGGATTCGACGTGTAATTCCTATATATACTCCTTGGAGCTTCATTATTCAATAAGTTCAAATATTACCAAATTGTATCATGGTATCAGAGCTAAGATTCTCAAAAACCTAGAGTCCTTTTTTCAGATCGAGCATTGCTGTCGGTCCCTATATCTTTGCCGATGGCCGACCATCAAAGTTATGGCATCTCCGTCCGACCCCCTCGCTTCTCTGCCTTTTGGAGTAAAATTTCTACTTCGCAGTCTTCATTATTAAATTCTAGAACTCCCAGATACAAACTATTCTGCATGGTCCCTCAATGTCAGGACATCTCTCGCTGCTAATTATCTTTCGAATAAATCGATGGCTATGAAGAAGCACCGTAAAAAACGATCTCCAAGGATGGCATGACAAACCATGATCCTGAGTACTCAACATGGTCCGCACTTGACACCCAAATTTGTGCGTCTTCTTCTCATTATTAGCCCTATGGTCCACAAACATGCTCAGGGCTTCATCATCTCATCATCTCTGTTGCTCTTTGAGACGCTTTAGCGGCTAGATACAATTCCATATCGACCGCTCGCATTTATCAACTTTGAGATAAACTTCACACTCATTCCATTCTAGTAGATCTAGATGCATTGAATGAACCTGGCTGATTCTGTTTCTAGAAGTACACATGGCACTCATTTCTTGAGGCAGTTGAGGCCGTGGTCGAGGTGGAGGACGCATTAACCGTTTTATGGCCGTACTCGTGGTGGTCAAATCAACGGCCAAGGCAGGGGTCGCGGTCCTCCACGCAAGCTTCCGAATGAGAATGATGTACAATGAAAGAAATGAGAATGTATAAGATCCATTAGATTTGAAAAAAATCATGGTGGCAACTTTGTAAATAAATTGAACTTTATGAAAATATCATGGCGGTCCCAATATGCACCATTCTCATATTCTCGCAGTAAGGATATTCTCACCTGAAGTAACTGTGTGTGTGTACTCAGAGATTCCTTATTCACTAAGACTGATTATTATCGAATTGTAATAATAATAATAATAATAGTAATAATAGTAATAATAATAAACAATTAAATTTAGAGCTTTCTAGAATATTGCAAAACTTTATTTAGATTGACCTAGAGATAGAAACGTTTGGAACTGCAAAGAATAATATGGAAGGATATAAAAGGAAGTGGAAGAGTGCAGAGGTTCTTAGGATGTGTGGAGCATTTTAGAGGATTAATCTCTATCATGATAAAAGTAATCTCTGCCATTAGGCTCTGTTCTTTTGGGTTGGAATTTTAGAGTTGGATGTTGGAAGAAAACATATTTAACCCTATTGTAATATAATGCCTAGAAATTGTACATTTGAAGGAACTACTTGTTACTTCCACTTATGTGGTTGTAACTTTCATAGAGTGTTCATTGATTGCACAACTTATTTCATGTTGTGTCTTTTGGCTAACAACCAATCCCTATCACAAACTAGCGTCTTAAGTGATTCGATACTTAGTTAGGTACAGATGGTCAATTAGACCTGACAATCAGGTCAATCTGTTCGGTTCTGGTTCAGATCTTTTCAATTCAGTCTCTTTCGGATATATGTTATAATTGATTCGGGTCGGTTTGGTTCGGTTCAGTTCAGTTTTGGCTTAAATTTGGTTTGATTTTTTCTGAGTTTCAGGTCGGTTTTTATTCGAGTTTATATCAGTTCAGGTTTATACTGGTTTGGGTTTATATCGATTTGGGTTTATACTGATTTCAGATGAAATCCCTTGGTATCAGAGTTCCTAATGTTAGCCTTATGTGTAGCCTCTCCTCCCTATGTGTAGAGGGAGTATATATACAAGTGTCAGCAATAATGAGCTAGTACATCCATTAATGTGTGTTACGATGTCACCATAAATTATATAAACTCTATATAAAAATAGACAACAACCTTAGTTTAAGTGATTAAATACGTAGTAAAAGAGGGGTACATTAAATCAGTTTTACCTATAATTCAAATATATTTTTCTTAGAAAGACATCAACCAATGAGCTATTAGGTTTGTCTGAATTTGAGTCTAATTTGTTTTGAACTTGATCAATATCGGCTCTAATTGGTTTTTGGGTCTAACTGGTTTCAAGTTTAGTCGGTTTCGGGGTCTAATCAGTTCTGAGTTTAATCAGTTTGAGTCTAAATGGTTCGGGTTCAATTGGATCCAGATCGGAATACATTTGGTTTGGTTTGGTTCGGATCATTTTGGGTGTACGAGTTTAATTCGGTTCTTCAGTTTTCGGGTCATTTCAGATTCGGTTCCGGGTTATCGGGTCCGGATCAGTTTTGCCAGGTGTATGGTCAATGTGTTTCCGCTCTAATTAAACTCTTATTTGGTGAATTTTAGAGATATGATATGATATGTGTTTTGAAATTTTGGAAAAATGATATGGATTTTGAAATCTGAATGAAGTTGTTTGAGAGATTTAAAATCATGATTGAATTAGTGAATGGCGGGGGTCCCTCGGGGGTGGTTGGCGGTGGCATTGGTAATTGGTGGTGGGGGATGGTCGATGGTTGAGGGAGATATCAAATCTTCACATTGATATCTCCCAAATTTGGGAGATATCGAAACCCAACATTTGGAGGATTTGTGATATTTAGAGATATTAATTTTGAATTTATTTTATGCCTCACCAAACACTAATAGAAACCCATATCTTCTATGCTCACCAAACGGGCCCACGCTGCAAGAAGAGAAGAGTATTATTGCCCAAGTATCAAAAATGTTGTATGTTGGTGAAGGTAATATCCTAAACATCACATGTGATGATAGCTCTTGGATTATCTATACTGGTGATTCCTTCCATGTTACTTTGCATGGAAGTTTCTCCTCATCCTACCAAAGGGGTGGCTTTGGCACAGTGAAATATAAAATCAAGGTATGAGCAAGGATGTGAGGATTAGAGACATCATCTTGCCAACATAGTATGCAAACTTGTCGTAAATGACACGAGGCATGTCTTGGCTATGTGCCTTAATCTCATCTCCAACAGAAAACTAGATAATACTCGTTTAATGAATTATTTTGGTCAAGGAAAGTGGAAGGTCATGAGTTCAATCATGGCTTGAGGAAACAACGATCATTGTACATGAAATGATGCAAGCTAAGTTCCCTGTTGCGAAAGGTAACAATTTGATCCTTGTACTTATTGTTTAGATGGAACAACAACAACAACCCAGTTGGATCCCACTACAGTTGGGTCTGGGGAGGGTGTGTGTACGCAGACCTTGCCTACTCGGAAGCAGGGAGGCTGTTTCCAAGAGACCCCCGGCTCAACCTGCACAAAAAATATGATAGGGTACACAGTATAGCATGGGTAAAACACCAAATACAATGAAAAGAAAGTTCTACAAACATTAATAGAAGATTCCAATCAAACACAACACACTACAAAAAACCTCTGTAGCACCAAGTTCCTAACTAGCTACTCTAATCCTAGTTCTCCAAAGGTTCCTATCTAAAGCCATATCCTCAGTCAGGGTGAGAAGTCCTAAATCATGTCTAATCACCTCCTTCCAATTCTTCTTAGGTCTACCCCTTCCCCTACTTCCCCCGATAACCGTAATCCGCTCACATCTCCGTACAGGGGCGTCAGCATCCCGCCGTCTCACATGACCAAACCATCTTAACCTCGCTTCCCGCAATTTAACTTCCACCGGCGCCATGCCTACCTGACGTCGGATAACTTTGTTCGAAATCCTATCCAACCTTGTCTTCCCACACATCCATCGTAACATCCGCATCTCCGCCGCATGTACACGACGCACATGAGTCTTCTTAACCGCCCAACACTCTGCCCCATATAACATAGCAGGTCTGACTGTGGATCGGTAGAACTTGCCTTTCATCCTGGGCGAAATCTTCGAGTCACACAATACCCCTGAAGCCAACCGCCATTTGGCCCAAGCCACTCCAACACGATGTCCAACATCCCCGTCTAACTCCCCATCAGCCTGGATTACCGAGCCAAGATATCGAAACCTGTCTACCTTAGGTACTAGGTGAGAGTCAATCCTAACTTCCACCTCTGATTCTGTTTCCCTGCTGCTGAAACGACACTCCATGTATTCAGTCTTGTTCCTACTTATTCTGAACCCTTTAGTCTCAAGGGCAAGGCGCCATCGTTCCAATTTATCGTTTAGTCCCTCACGTGTATCGTCGATAAGCACAATATCATCCGCGAAAAGCATGCACCATGGGACCCCTTCTTGCACACCTTGAGTTAGGACGTCCATCACCAAGGCGAACAAAAAAGGGCTAAGGGCAGACCCCTGGTGCAACCCCATCCCTACCGAGAATGACTGAGAGTCGCCCCCGAAGGTCCTTACCCTAGTCATAGCCCCATCGTACATATCCTTGATCGCGCGAGTGTACGCGATGGGAACTCCTCTCGTCTCAAGGCACCTCCATAAGACCTCCCTTGGCACCCTATCGTACGCCTTCTCGAGATCAATGAACACCATATGAAGGTCCTTCTTCCTAGCCCTATACTCTTCCATTAACTTCCTCACGAGGTGAATGGCCTCTGTAGTCGATCTGCCAGGCATGAAACCAAACTGGTTCTCAGAGATGCATACCCCTTTCCGCACCCTATACTCAATGACTCGCTCCCATACCTTCATGGTGTGGCTAAGCAGTTTGATGCCTCTGTAATTCTCGCAGCTCTGGATGTCAGCTTTGCCTTTAAACAGGGGGACCAAGAGACTCTCCCTCCACTCATCCGGCATCCTTGCTGTTCGGAAGATGACATTGAAGAGTTTGGTTAACCAAACCCACGCACCACGACCCGCATGCTTCCAAAACTCCACCGGAATCTCATCTGGTCCCAAAGATGGAAAACAACAAAAAGTTACTTTCCAAAGATCTTCGCCCACAAAGAGAAAGAACATTCTCGACCTTAGACACACTAGTTGCCTTGTGCATGGTCGATGTCTGAGAGTCGAGAAATCCATTGGTAGTGCAATATGGAAGGTATGGTTGCACTTGTTAAATGCATTGGATCAAGTGTTTGATATGTTCAAGGAATTTCACGCTCTAGTGGCATGTGAGACTGTACAAAAAATCATGTGTGTAAAGTATAAAGCTCCTTTTGAAGTCTATTGCAAAAAATACATAGTATGTCATTAGGTTCAAGAAGACTCCATCCAAGAAGGCAAGAAACCGCAACTGAACGAGCTTGTTAAGAGAATCAAATGAACTATTGAAGAAAGAGTTCGATGTGTGCTCTCTCATGCCAAGTTACCGAAATCATTTTGGGGACAATCTATGATGATTGTGGTTGACATTTTCAACCTCACACCACATTTCCTTTGGATGGAACCATTTCATAAGTTTGGGCGGCAAAAGGCTTCATGCAATCATATCAAGGTGTTCAGGTGTAGGGCATTTGTTTACATTCCCAAAGATGAGCAAGATGAGCTTGACACTGTTAGACAGGACCAAATGAAAGCAAAGTAGAATATTTTATTGTTGTGAACTTTACAGGATTCTTTGTGTTCTCTAAATATAAATAGAGAACAAACCAACACGACTTTTACTAACCAACACAACTATTACATTCCAACACACCTATTAACATTAGAAACTACCCATAACCGCTTTTAGAAACTACCCAACTGTTCTTTTTAAATTTATTAAATATGTAAAACACACTAGCCGACACCATACTAACTGCCCCGAACATTGACTTATTACCCATTTGGTTATATGTGAACAAACTCGATTAAATCTAACAATCACACCCCTAATCGTTGTTTGTTCACACTCACAGCAACATTAGTTCATCATCATCTTCAATCAAATTTGGAATGTGTTCCTTTTGATCCCATTTTGGACATTCATTCAGAAAATGCCCTAGCTCATTGCACTTGAAACACTTAATGTGACTCTTTTGCCGTTGGAAGCGAGTTTTCAAAGAATTCTAAATTTCGGTAAATTGAGCAACTTGTAACACGATCGCTTCCGGCAAAGCTTGAAACAGATATGCTATTGCCATATTGTTCTTCTTTGGATCGATTTCTGTTCCTGGATCGATCACCTCCCAAATCCCATCAACATTAAAAATTGCTTTGATCTTCACATCCCAAATAGTGTAGTTTGTAGCAGTTAGAATTGGAACCTTAAAAGATAGTGAACTATTCTCCCTGCTATCACAATTTGTCTTCTGTCTTCCATTGCACGACTTTAATTCCTTTGACAATTTTCACAAAGTTCTTAGACTTTGATTCCTTCCTAGGTCGTAAGCCACCTGCAATCGACCATCAACGAGAAGACATGCCCCTGCTTTTCCGTCTTCCAAGCCGCTAAACAAAAGCTACCCCCTTGATTTGTTTTTCTCGTGCCTTTTGGTTGGAATACTTCTGCCTAAAAAAACTAGCAACTTGATGTTCTTTTTCTAGGCGAGGAAGATATTTGGTCAAAGATTTTGATCTTTTGTCTTGTAAGTGCTAATACACTGCCAGTCCCTTATGTTGTCAATCGCACACCCCTGATCGCAAATCGGACCTGCTCTCTTTGATCGTTGGGTCCTGATTGGATTGTCCCTCCGATACCAATTGTTGGACAAGACTAGATCAAAGCAAAGTAGAATATTTATTGTTGTGAGCTTTATATGATTCTTTGTGTTCTCTAAATATAAATAGAGAACAAATCAACACGACTTTTACTAACCAACACAACTATTAGAAACCAACACACCTATTAACATTAGAACTACCTGACTATTTTTTTAAAATTAATTAAATATGTAAAACACACCACCAACACCATACTAACTGGCATGAACATTGACTTATTACCCATTTGGTTATATGTGAACAAACCCGATTAAATCTAATAGACACAAAGATGAAGGAGTGCATCTACCTTCGGTCATCTAAGGATTAATTTGGATACCGGTTTTAGGATCTAATTCAGCAAAAAGGATGTTCCCAGCAGCGACATTGTACTCTTCAAATACCAAGCAATCAAAGACATTAAGAATTGGAAAGGCCAATATTGAGAAGTAGCAAGAGCATCGAACTCCCTCTAGTTTGACATGATGATTGCATTTCTTCATGGTGACTTACATGAAGCACTTACATGGAACAACCGAAGTGTTCAATACTAAGACTTTGATTCTTTCATAGGGAGCTTCAAAAGGTGTCCTTTAAATCATTGTGTATTCATGAAGGAGCATCTTGATGATTATGTTGTCATTTTTATTGCTTTATGTTGATCATATACTAATTATTGGCCAGAATACACAAAAAAATCTTAATTGAAGCAAGAGCTGAGCAAAGTATTTGCTATATAAGATCTTAGGGAAACATATAAAGACTTCGTGTAGGAGAATTATTTGTGGCACGAAAGCTTAGAAGTTTTGGTCTTGTCAAGAAGCCAGAAAGTGTCAAAGATGTTGAACATGGATGAGGCTAAGCATTGAGTACTCTTGTAACTAATTTTAAGTTAAGTAACTAATCAATTAGGAGGTCTTAATTTGTATAAAAATGTTTGGAGTACAAGCAATCATGTATATCAGAGCAATCAAGGACATGTAAGAGGGAACCATGACTAGAAAAAGGAAGACGAGAAGAGACTTAGATCACTTCAAGAGTTCACAGTGCCTTTTTGCTCGCCTTATTGATGGATGAACCGGCCAAACATATGCAAGAGGAAGTATTTTAATGCATGTTATTTGTGGAGGGATATTGTATTAAACAATGAAACATATTCAAAAGAAATTTTGCATCATTCTACATGAGCGGGAAGAGGAGTTGAATCTCAAGTTTCAAATCATCTCCATGAAGAATTGTTTAATCCCTCGTTCTAGTGTGTTCAGTTTGACTTTGTTCAATCACAGTAAATGAATTCTCATAATCAATTAAATAAAAGTTATATTTCAAATTATGACAATGATACATTTTTCTGAAATCATTTTGCAAGATAAAGGGATTGATTTTTTTGTTCAAATATGTAGTGCCATGCGTAGAAGTTCAGAGTAGCAGAGATTAGGATGTTCAGTTAGGATAAGCTTTGTGAGGAGGTGCAAGATGTTAGCCATGAGTATGAGGAGAGGTAGTGGTGGATAGAAGAAGAGTCGGGATGAGGCAATTAGAACTGACATATTGTTTATTTGTTTATTGTAAGCTAACTGGGTCTGGACTCGGGTTTTATGATGGAATTAGGCATTGAGAGGTGCCTCTTTAGGGGTTTGTTTATTTGTGTATTGTTATTTAATCTTCCTTTCTTTATTTTGTAGTTGTTTACCCTTATATATCACCTTTCAATATTTCATCCTTCTAACCTGCATGCCCACACTCTCTAGACACCACTTGTGGGATATTACTTGGTTGTTTTTGTTTTAATAATCCCTCTGTCTCAAAATGAAGTTCACACTTTGATTTCAGAGTTTAAGAGAAGTGTTCAAAGTGAATGGTGTGTGGTTAAGATTTTATTCAGAAGAGAAATTATAATGGCCAGATATTCATTTCCCAAAAGAGAAAGTGGAAGAGTGCAAATTTCATTTTGGGACATCCAAAAAGGAATGTGTAAGCTTTATTTTGGGACAAAGGAAGAATTTCTTCTAAATCTTTCTGGCAATTGGTAGTAATGGACCAAATCAAATTTGCAAATTGATCTTCCTTTGCATTTAATTTCTATGAAGTTTTGGGTAATAGCGATGCATCAATTTCTAACCGGATTAGTCTGACAAGAGTAAGGCTACCTACATCTCGAATGCCAACAAAGTTAAGTTAAATGAAACACATGAAAGAGTTAGTGAGAGACTAGAGGAATTTAGCATCATCCCACATGAGTTGGAAGAGGAGTTGAGTGTTAAGTTTCAAATCATCTCTAAGAGGACTTGTTTAGTTGCCTTGGGTCAATCATTCAAGGAGAGGACAAGATTGATGGTAATGTCACTTATCATATTAGAGTGGACCTGATGAAATGGAAGCTCACGTCAGAGTTTTGTGGGACACATGTTTCACAAAAACTACAGTAAGGTTCTATAAATTGTCAGGTTGGCTTGTTGTATAATTCTCATGTGTAGAAGTTGAGAATAGCAGGGATTAGGATGTTTAGTTAGGATATACTTAGAGCCTGTTCTTTAGGACTTAAACTCTTAACTTCCAGTTTCTTCCAGTTTCTTCAAGTTCCTTCCAGTTTCTTCCAGTTCCTTAAGTTTCTTCCAGTTCTTCCAGTTCTTTCTAGTTCCTTCCAACTATTCTCATTTTCTTCAAACTCTTTCTACTCCCCAACCAATTATTCTAAAAACGATATATTTTTAATGTGATTATTATTAATATTATTATTACAACTGTTATATTCATAACTGTAATTTATAAAAAAAATTATCTCACTATTTTTACGATTCACACTCATTGTTCTTTCTTCAACTTTTTAATATGAATAAGACAATTTTTGTATAGTAATCAACATGAAAACATCAATATTTTAAACTATATTAAAAAATATGGATAAAATAGTTACATAAAATGCTTTATTAATCTAACTTTATATATTTCCCTTTATTACTCAAATTTTTCTCATTTTTCTAATTTTTATAGAAAATTTGAAAGTCAAAATAGTTTAGAGAAAAAGACTAAAATAGGAGTAAAACATAAAAAATATAAAAAAAGTTCTATGTCTTTATTCAAAAAATAGGAGTTACAATGAAAATAAAATGTCAATCATTAAAGAAAAAATAGGCTTGATTATATTATGTGACATGTATGATAATTAAAACAAAATCTTGTAATATATAAAGTATTATTACAAATGCATTATTTATAATAAATACTGCATAAATAAATTGAGGTGCAACGTAACCAAAATAATTTTTTAAATTTAACATTTTAATATTTATGCTAACTCTATATTATATTTTTTTGCAAAAGTAGTTTTTATTTGTATGAAAAATATCAATACTTTTTTTTATCTTAAAGGCATTC